TAAAGTCCTGTCGTAATATTAATCAACGATTAATTCGTGTTTTTGAGTGCATTTTTTCAATATAAAGCCGCGGTAAAGCTATTGCATAGCATTTTTTATCAACTTAGTATTAATAAACTTAGTATTAAATAATTATCTCAGGAAAACCCTATAGAAATTTGCCCGGCCGGGAATCAAACCCAGTAAGGCAGCGTTTTCAAATTCAGCGCGAACAAAGTCGCGGGTACCAGCTAGTATTAAATAATTATCTTAGGAAAACCCTATAGAATTTTGCCCGGCTCATATGCTTTTACATATCTTCCTACAACTTATCTATGGCTGTCGTTACTATAGTTACGTTTAACTGTATAGAAGTTACTCAACTGTTTTTTTTTTCCTTGCATATATTATTATTTAAGTATTCTTTAATTTACTGTATTTTAACTACAATAAAACCCTTTCTAACTGCTTTAACCAAGTTGTTTTATGATTGCCTTGTCTATATATAAAAGTGGTTCCACATTATAAAAGTTAACATAGTAGGAGAGCGAATGAAGTGAAAAAACGCTGTCACAACTTAAAGCAAATATGCATTAAACTCTCGTGCCTACGTTGCAAGCATGCCGAAGACATTTCACATTGATCCACTAGATAATGACAATTATGACACTTGGGCAATTCAGGCTGAAGCTGTGTTGATGAAAAGCAAACTATGGAGGTACGTTGAAAGTCCCCCAAATCAAAACGCAAGTGCAGACGATGTCGAAGGAGATAAACAGGAAAAATCAGAATTGATTTTAATAATCGCTCCTTCTCAACTTAAATTAATAAAGAAATGCACCTCTGCAAAGGCTTTATGGGATAAACTTCATGAGATTCATGCGAGTAAAGGTCCTGCACGTAAAGCAAGTGGTAACGAAACACCATTCGAGAAATGGGTCTTAAGAAAGCCTTGCGTTAATCATCTCCATCCTTTCGGATCCAAAGCCTTCGTACTAAAGAAAGGACCGAGAGACAATAAGGCAATACCAGGAATGTTTGTTGGATACTCAAGCACGAATAAAGCATATAGAGTTTATGTTCCTTCCAAACGTAAAAGTCTTATTTCCAGGGACGTGTCTTACGTACGTACGTTGTGAAAGGAAATTACTACTCAAACCCTTAATCAATGTTAACAACTTTTCATACAATGAAAACAAGCATTGTGATTCGGCTACAGAAATGAAGAAAACGCAAGTAGATATTGATGACGCTGCGACGCTGCTCAACAAAACGACATTATTGAAAACGTCGTAAATGCAGATTCTACTCAGCACTGTGAAAACGATCAAGAAGCTGATACTGATAGAGAACAGTACCATGAAATCCCTGATCACGAGTACCTTGATGATGAAAACACAGCCGAAACAGAACCAAATCACTATATTCTTAGAGACAGATCAGCAATCCAATTGCCACAACGGTATGATGACTTTGTACTGGCAGCTGTTAGTGAAGTCCAAAATTTACCTAAGGATGCAGTGACTTACAAACTAGCATTGGACTCGCCTTGTAAAGAAAAATGGGTAGAAGCCATGCTGAGCAAAATAAACTCACTGAAAGAGAATAAAACCTGGGAATTACCCAAAGGACGAAAAGCACTACCTTGCAAATGGGTTTATTAACGAATCCGGAAGGCTCCATCGATAACCCATTTTACCCACTCATGTATCCGACTCTGTTCGTCTTGGGCATGGTCGGATATAACGAGCTTAGAGTCAGAAGGGACCTTAGTCTTGCCTCCTATATATTTAATCTACTAAGGGGAAAAATCCACGACAGCAATATATTAGGATTGGTAGGCATGTGTGTACCGGACGGGTATGTGTGGCGGCGACGCCGTCCGCCATTGTTGGCGGTGCCGCGCGGACGCACTAATTTGCTAAGCGAAGCGCCTCTAACGCGTGCGTTGCGCACCCTAAACCTAGTAGCCACAGATATCGACTTATTTAGCTGTACACTGAGTGAGTTCACAAAGACAGTATTATATATTATATGTTACAAAACAAAAAGTTAGAGGTTATGTAAAACAAGCATTTTTGTAATAGTTACGCTATCGCATTAGGATATACCTGTAATGATAGTAGTAAGTGTGGATACTAAATAAATAAATTTAAAGCCAGAGTTGTCGTTGAAAGGTACTCACAAAAACAAGGAGTCGAATAAAACGTTTTATAATATTATATTATTATAATTCGCAGTCTCTACGGACTCAAGCAAGCGCCGCGATGCTGGAATTCATGCATTTCTGAATTTTAAATAAAAACTGGCCTTAAACAAAGTGAAGCAGACCCTTGCTTATATACCAGACGAGGACAATCCAGAGTGTTAATCGGACTTTATGTTGATGATGGACTAGTGGCGTCTAATACAAATGCTGCAGGAGATGAGTTTATTAATGAACTTAAAGCTCGTTTCAAGATCACAACGAAATCCATCGCCTACTTTTTGGGCATGGAAATAAAAGCAAAAAAAGGCAGAATAACTCTATGCCAACTAGCCTATATAAAAAAGGTTCTTGAGAAGTTTGATATGATGAACAGTAAGTCCACACCAACTCCGATAATTAAACAATGTGTCAACGATACAGAACCTAAAATTGAAAACAGGCTAGATTTACAGACAGGCCGTTGGAGCTCTTACCTACTTAGCAGTAGGAACAAAGCCAGATATAGCCTATGCTGTAAGCAAAGCATCCAGAAACCTAGAGACGCCCACTACAATTGATGTCATGCTAGTGAAACGGATCTTACGCTACCTCAAGGGGACTATAGACAAAGGTCTGGTATACAGGCACACAATGGAGTTACCAAACAATTTGGTATGCTACTCTGACTCCGACCTCGCAGGAGATCAAACAACAGGTAGATCGACATCTGGGATGCTGTGCCTACTTTCAGGAGGAGCTATTAGCTGGAAAATTCAGCGACAAACTATAGTATTATTGTCGTGGACTGAAGCGGAGATAATCGCTGCCAGTGAAACTACACAATAAATTTTGTGGCTGAACAACCTATTGAAAGACTTGTCCAACGTACAAAAATCTGTGCTCTATCTAGGTAATGAATCAGCTATAAAGCTTTCACACAATCCTTAATATGAGTACCATAGGCGGACCAAGCACATAAAGTTGAAGCACCTGTTTGTGCGTGAATGTGTAAACAACGGTGAACTTAAAGTGAAACAAGTCCCATCCGTCAGACAACTGGCGGACATGTTTACCAAACTGCTCTTTGGCCCAAGATTAGAAGAATTGAGTGGAAAAATTGGTCTAAAAAGAATTTATCAATTCTAAAAAGTTCTGAGGGTGAGAAGAGACTACAAATCTTCCTATAACTTATCTATGGCTATATTACTATAGTTACGTTTGACTGTTTAGAAGTTACTCAACTATTTTTTTTTTCCTTGCATACATACATGTCATTACGTATTCTTTAAATATTACAATCAGTCATTACTATATTTTAACTGCAATAAAACCCTTTCCAACTGCTTTAACCAAGTTGTTATATTATTGCCTTGTCTATATATATAAAAGTAGTTCCACATTATAAAAGTTAACAATGCTACATTATTTTCATTAGTATTATAGTTATATATGTAGAATGAAGCATTTTTAACACCGGATGGCGTAATGGTTTGTGTAATGGACTGCTATTCCAATGGGTGTTTCTACGTATAATATGTATATATTTACAAAAAAAAAGTAAATATGTATTTACATCAGTTGTCTAGTACAAAAAATACAAGCTCTGCTTAGTTTGGGACTAGATGGCGGTGTGTGAATGTGGTAGACTATTATTTAAAAAAATATTAATAGATAATATAATATAATTGTATACAAAATTTCGACGAAAACGGCTTTTTCTCAAAACGTTTAGCGAGTGTCTTGATACCGTTTTGCATAAGTAGGTCTAATTACAAAAAGACCTTGCTTGAAAAGATCACGGTACTACATCTACAGACACCTAAGCTGAGCTATTAAATAACTTGAAAAGTGTGACATTTATGCAGTGTTTCTAGCGTTCGTTATTTTCCTAGAAATTTGGTGCTTTAACGCACCAAATTTCTAGGAAAATAAGTGTCAAAGATTTTAAATAATATTGTGCTATCAGACGGATAACTAAATAAAAAAAATAATTGTTGTATTTATATCCGCCTATTGACCATTGAGTATTCATATGACTCAATACGTCCTTTATTATTTATCAATAAGCTAGATTAGGTGTCGAACTGAAGTGCACCACCAAAGTGCAAAAATAATAAAAAATAAGGTAAATTGCAGTTTAAAGATAGAAGTTATCTTGAACGAAAAGACATCAAAAGTACCTAGCTTATGTCACATTAAGCGGTGTAGCGACGCGTCGCCATGTGCAAGTGACTGTTATAAAATATGCTTTGGTTAGGTATGCTTTCATAAGCTATGCTTTTGAAGTCATTATATCAACAAACTAAATTAGATTTTTCAGATCTGCCAGACTTTTAATTTTAAATTTTAACAGCTAATAAAACGTTGAAGAGAGGTTTCTTGTATTGTTTAACTTTTTTAGGTGATTTACCACCTGACTAAGAGATTTATGTTTCACGTTTTAATTGTCTGATCAAATATTATATAGACTTCCAAGCTACAAAATCTATTCCTTGGAGAACATCTGAGAGGGTGACAAAATGATAAATATTGCAATCGAAGCTTTAGAAATGTTTAAAAATAAAATTCCTCCCTCGAATGGTTGCTTCGAAGGGTACAATGAATCCAAAAAATTACAACACTACATTTCTGCAGCTGTCACCCGTGAAATTGTATTGTGCGAAAATAGATAACTTGAATCAAAATAACTGATCGTTGATTACTGATGCTGTCTTCAATAAAAAAAGTATTAAAATGGAACACTCCAAAATCTACAGAAACAAGAAAAAATCAGACGTCTTTATTACTAGCAGCTTTTATTGGCATACTTGAAGATGTTTTATTTTGGAAAAAAATGTGGTTCTCTTTGTCTTTCATATTTTTTATAAACATAATATTCTTGTAAGTATTTCTAGTTACAAAGAATCCTGTAATGTATCTCTAATTATTATTATTGAAAGTTATAATATTACTAAATTTAGCAGAAGCGGATCCCTATCACGTATTTTTATTACCATTATTCAGCGGTTTACATAAATTAATGCGCAGTTTTGTTTCAGTGTATGTGTTCACCGTCAAATTAACTTGTTAGAATTTATTTTGGCTTTAAGCATAGCAATGCTTAGCAGTGATGCATTTGAGAGTTGGCTAAAACACAAACATAGAACTTCTTGCCTAAAAAGATTGGCTTCCCATGAAGGTGATAAGCTAAAATCTGTAACAGTTCGCCTAAATCAATATCTGCGCAAAAAATGGATTGAGTATTTATATTTAAGGGAATCTAATCATACCAAAGTAAGTTTTTTTATTAATATTATCATACACATTATAAACTTCCATTAAAGACAATGTTTTATGGATAATACCAATATTAATATATAGTGTAAGTGGGCTGCTTTCAATCACTTCTTGCAAGTAATTGATTGAGGGCTTCTAGCAGTGAACATTCTAATGCTGCAATGATTACTCATGCATCGTAGACACAGAAAAAATGACTGAAAAACAATGTAAAAATATGTAAGTTTTATTTACATCCTTATAAGTAAACACAACATTAATATCTTATTCTGTTTCAGGCCTTTCTATTAATCAATATAAATCTAATAATAGTTTTTGTTATTGGAAAATATATAAATGGCTATATTTTGACATATTTATTGTTAATGTTAGTTTGTTTATTTTACAAAATAATTTTACCAGTATTGAAAACGTTTAAGGATATAAAACAAGACTTAGGTAATAACCTTTATATTATTTATATTTAATACTAAAATAATATTGTATGAAATTGCCGATTTGAACAAAAAATTTTTAACTTGTTTTTTTTTCTAAGATGTAACATATTTATTTAATCAAAATTTTTACCCTCATTATCGATACATTGCTGCCACCTAAACAGAAGTTCATATATGCCTTTACGATAGGGGATCTGGATTCGACAAACTGTGTAAAAGAATTTTCTATTTCCTCTTGGGGAGGAAATTTTTTATCACATAAAAAATTGTCCAAATCACTAATAAATGGTAGGCCGTTGGAGCAAGGTCTGGCGAGTGTGGAGAATGACATATGGTTTGTAACTGCAGCTCCTGTAGGGTTACAACGGTTTCTCATGCAGTGTGAGGTCTTGCGTTATCATGGAGCATTATTGGTAAAAAGAGAAGAATTCGCAATCATTGTTCGAAGTTCGGCACAGTAACCCATCGGCTGTTATTTCTTGAGCAGACCTGAGACAGCTATAGTAGTGAATAACACCATGAAGAGACCACTGAACAGTTACCATTACCTTCTTATTGGTAATGGTAACCTTTACTTTAGGACTGTTGCAGCGCTTGACCTGGGGTCAGCCATTGCATTTTTCGCTTACGGTTATCTTAAACAATCCACTTTTCGTCACAATTCGATCCAATATTCCTTTATTTCTGTACCGATTCAACAAGGCAATACAAGTTTCAACAGACATTTCTTTCTGGAGATCAGTCAAATCATGAGGGGCACCTATTTTTGATATTTTTTTATCTTATTGATTTAATGTAAATGAGTCAATATCGTAGGTAGGTTAACGTTAAACCATGCCGCTAATTCCTGGGTAGTTTGACTCGGCTCGGCTTCCACCATCTCCCTCAATTCAGCGTTATTCACCTGTGTAGGCAGTCTTCCACGGGGTTCGTTCTTCAAGTGGAAGTTTCCACTACAAAAGCGCTTTAACCAAAAACGCACGGTGCATTCATTAGGAGTCTCCTCGAGAACGCAGCGGTGATACCTATTTCGAACTGTATTCTGTAACTAATTCTGTAGCGTTATTTCTACATCGGAACTCGTATTCAAAAATGACTCGGATTTTCGTTTTTTTTTCCATCTTTCACTTCTAAATAAAAAAAGCAAAAGAAACTCGAAAATCGAATCTTGCACATTTTTTAAAAGAAGAACCTCATAGGTATCATGTGAAAAAAGAAAACACGAAAATCTCACCCCATGAAGGTTTTATGTCAATTCAAATATCTATTCCTATACAACGGCAATTTCACACTCTAACCCCTATTTTTGTTTTAACTGACATTGTTTTTTAGAATCTGAACATGAATTGGAAGATCTAATACCAGAAGTATCTGAAGTTAATATAAAATTATTATCCATTGAGCCTGAACAAGCTCCGAGTTCGGATGAGAAGCAAAGCTTTGGTAAAACATTATCACACACTATTAGTCATGAGATAAGGTTACGAAGAAGAATTTTAACTTGAGAACATTTTTTTTTTGTAGATTATTGGAAACCTAATGATGTTCCTCTAGCAGAATACAGTGATAGTTCTGACAATAGCAGTTCCTTGGTAACAAACTTTTCAATTGAGAAAATGCATACATTGGAAAAAGATGTTGATTCTTCAGACACCAGTGAAGATGAATACATACCTCTAGGCAAGTATTTATGTTGATGTGGCATATCTTAAAATTTGTGTATCTTGAGTAGTAAAAATATTGCAATGTTTAATTTTGAATTATTATTGCCTAAGGAAAATAAGTAACAACATATAATGTAACTATTACATTTTTATTGCATAAAAATATTAAAACGAAGTATTGCACATTTAAGATCAACAAAAGGAGCAAAAAGAGTTACAATCTACTTTAGAAATAGTGGAACCATCCAGTACCTGGAGCAGTGCAGCATACAATACCTTTTGGAATATCACTAGTACTGTGGCAAATATGGTGCATTCAGATTCAGCAGAAACTAAAAGAAAGAGATTGTCAAGTATTGACTCATCAGATGGCTTTGAAATGATTGATAAAAATGATTTAACTTAATATTTGTAATGATTTTAAGACATTATTTTTCATAACTATTTATTGTGTGGTTTTTGTCAATTTACAATATTTAAACATTACAAGACATGTTTTCAAGTCTTGACATCATTTCTTGATGTTGTCTTTTTAGAGCTCTTAGCCGCACATTATTTAAATTATTCCTTGCAACAAGACCCTCAAGCATTGGTCGGGACATCTGAAAACATTAAGGCATTTAGTTATTCAATATAAATTCTGTTAATTATCATACTGTTTATGTGATTAACTAATAATAATATTCATACTTATTTCTTTTTGTATGTATCAGCAAGTCTTAGGAGACGCAACTTGATAATTTTTAGCTCAATCATATAGTCTCATAATAAATATTTGGTATCATATTGTTTATGTTATTAACTAATGATAACTTCAATACTTACTTCTTTTTTGTTTGTATCAGTAGATCTTAGGATCTTTAAGAACATAAGTCATTTGCCTTGCCTAGGGTTATCTACTTTACTTCAATGGGGATTTTGTCAAAACAGTTCATATATTTGGATTAAATTCCTTTTGTTATATTACACAATTATTTGTACCTTAATATGTACAAAATATAAATTATATCATCTTTTATTAATTTTTAAAAGAGATAAAGGAATTTTATGTGTGTATTATTTACATACACAAATACACAGTAAAACTAAATATGTTTGGAAAAATAAGGCTTGACCGTCTAAGCAGCACTGTCTAACAAAAAAAAAATAGATACATCTAGAAATGCTTGCAAATATATTATAAAGTACTTTTATCTTAGACATTAGGTGGTTATCATTTATTTTCAAAGCAATTTTGTTTTGCTCAAGGTGTACTTTAATTTGTTTAAACTGAGTGTCAAAGTTTTTTCTGTATTACCTTGTCAACTATATGTCCAATGGCAATAGTTCTAACAGCTGCATTATGTTGCTTGTTAATGATGTCATCAGTTTCATTTCGTCCTACTTCATTGAAATATGCCTCATCTTCTTCCTCTTTTAATATAGCTGGCAGTTGAGTTAGTGTCTAAAAACAGTATGACAAGTTAGACTGCTTCATTACATTAGATACAAAATATGAAGATTAAAGAATGGAAAATATATATGACATAACAAATTACAGGGCAAAATTAAAGATTCATATAATTCACAACCTGAAGAAATTGTTGCGACTATCAGATTGGTCATATTAAAGTTATACTCAAATAATACAGGAAGCACAACATGTACTTACTTCTAAGTTGTTTAACAATAAAGAGTCATTATTGTTTATTATTTCCATTTCAATTTCTCTTCTACCCTGGCTTGAACCATCATTTATTGATTGGAAACAAGTAATTTGAATCTAAAAAGAAATATTTAGAATAAGGAGAACAAAAATGTTGATTCACATAAGTATTTAATCTGTAGTTAGGTTTCCCTAGCCAGTATTAGTATTGCTCAGCAAGTTGGATCTTCATTGGCTCAAAATAGTTAAATACTTATAATTTTGACTGAAGGGGAATACAATTAAGTACCATTTTAGATTATCTGAAAAGACAGAATGCAAGAACACCTCAATTCTAATATCAATGAGTGTTGAATATCCAGATATCCATACTGTCACATCTTCTGTGTGTGTTTGTAATAATGGGAAATAATCTTATCTGAAGATTCAAAAAACCCTTGGAAACTTTACACATAGTTGTTGGGTGACAATGCACTTTTATAGTTACCGAAGGGGCTTTTGTTGATTGATCTGATAAAAATACTGCAAAAATTATCCCAACAAAACTAGAATCCATTCTTTGATACATTGACTGTGTTGCTAGATCTGAAATGATTGGATTACATTAACTTTCTATTATATCATAAATCATTGGAGTTATAATTTAATTTATGTACACTCACCAACATGTGATGGCCACACTGTGATATGAGGGTGTGAATGATACCACCCCACTACTCTAAGAGGTCTGTTTACTTCAGCTGCTAATTCCTCTGCACGTAATGTAGCTTGCACCAATTGCTCTTCTGATATCTCTACGCGATCAGGCTTTTTGTCCAAACGTCTTAATATTACAGAGGTGGATATGGACACCAAAGTGCCATCATTGTGTACCTATTATCAAATCTCGGATAAATAATTGAATTCTAAATTGGATTAAAATTGAAACTTAATTTTTGCTCTTACCTCTCCTAGAAGCAGTCCCATAATTTCTTCTTTTTCTGTTGATAATGCATGTTGAACGCAAACCAACGCAACATCAGAAGAAAGCAATACTTTATTAAGCATATTTAGAGAAAACTGTATTTAAATATTAGTTTTTATCTAAGCCGTGTGTTTAGCTACTTCACATAAGTTAAGAAGTTTTCAAAATAAGTTAAGAGCAACCATATACTTTGTGATTCATACAACAACAACTTTCGCTATTTACAATAATTTACATTCTATTTTCCGTCAATAGAGTTGTGTAGCTCCTGAGTAAGTGATATAAAAGATTTATATCATTCACGACGATAAAATTTATCACTCACTCACACTTGCTCCGAATATTTCAGTAACTCAGTACTAGTGATGCGCAAACTGTATCACTGAGCTGAAAAGATTGATACATTTCACTTCGCTCCTAAGATATATATCACTCATCTAGCTCACTAGCTCATTTAGCTCACTAGCTCATTTAGCTCACTAACTCGTTTAGCTCACTAGCTCATTGATCCGATTCAATTGATTGTTCTCTCAACAAGGCGTGGCGTGGCCTTGAAATGATATACAATTGCATATAAAAATAAATGCATATGAAAACGACCCATATGTTAAAAAGAATAACAAATAAATACAGAAATACGATTATATTTGTGATTATAAAATACGTTAAGCTTGTATTTTTTAAGTGTACAATTTTGATCTTTATTCACCTTAGGACAACATAATTATAATGAGAGTCGAATTCCCATGTAAGTATTTCTTAATTTGGACACCACGGCTTGATAGATCGCTCTTTTCGTAATGCCTAGTTGACGCTTGCCGAGTCTTGGCAAACGTCCACAAGCTCCAAGCTTTTACAAACGTTCGGATGCCATTTACTGTGTTAGTGTGTTCCGGACAGGCAAACATTCAGACACGTGGACGTTGAAGTTGTGTCGGCTATGGGGTTTGTTTGACATATTTTTATTAAATATATAAACAGCGACACGAAATACGCGATAAAAAAAAACCTCTAGCCCTACATACTGCTCAACCAGTAGAGCATTGGGACTTATTGTTGATTCCCGACTGCTCAACTATCTATTTTTAAATCAATTCACAATATACTCGCCAAACGGAATTGTTTAACGGTGAGACGCGCTCGTTAATGTATTTAAAATAACCTATGCTACAACACCTGTACATATATCACACAAAGCAAAAATAATATAAAAATATATAACAACTTAAGGTAGATAACTACGAATTTTACTGCATATTTAGGACAGCATCATCAAGTTGAGGTAGTCCAGTTGAGCACGCGCCAACATGTAAATTCGTCGCAAACGTTTACCGCAAGCTTCCTTTGATGTGTTCCAAAATCGACACTATGCGCTATCGACGACAAGCTCACGAAAGCCAAGCTTAACACCCCGTTTACACGCTTGTGTTTGTGGACACTTGTCGAAGCTTGCAAAAGGTGTAAACGCTCCATAAGATTCGCAAAAGAGGTTCGGCATGTTGGCAGTTGCGACTCAGAACAGTGGGTTGCCGTGCCCAAGTATTTCCGACAAAGAGACATGCTTGGAAGAGAAATCTGTGTGTGTACTTAAGAGTATTAAGTAAAGACGCCATTCTATGGGGTCGGGAACTTGTGAATCAAATAAGCTGACACATTCTTCACAATGTAAGGAACATAATTGTATAAACATGATAACTAATGCATGCTACGATTAATAACACTACACTGCCTAAAAATTTTTTTGACGATTTCATATCTATATCCAAAAGAGACATTATTGGGCATGGGAAAGTCAGTTTTAATTGTTATATTTAAAGAATTAAAAGCTTTGTTTCGTTTTCTGTCAGATCAGATATATATATATGAACTTATTACGATACACAAAAACAAAAAATCTCAAATACGAGGGCGGGTCAATAAGTCCGTGACTTTTTGAATTTCTGACCTCTTTACTGAAAAAGCAACACTACTCCTGTCAACAGGCATCTGTCAGTTGACTCCTGTCAAAATTTGAACTTGCTGCGTCAGTTAGTTTGTGTTTGACAGCTATCTTTATCAGACTACTCAGTAATTTGAGGAAAAAATGGAAAAAAGTGAATTTCGTGTGCTTATTAAGCATTATTTTTTGCGAAAAAAAAAACCATTACCGAGACCAAGGCTAAGCTTGATAAATACTATGGGGACTCTGCACCATCGATTTCAATGATAAAAAAGTGGTTCACTGAATTTCGTTGTGGCCGTACAAGCACTGAAGATGCCGAACGTCCTGGACGCCCAGTTGAGGTCTCTTCACCCGAAACAATCGAAAAAATTCACGATATGGTGTTGGCCGACCGAAGATTGAAAGTGCAAGAGATTGTGGAAGCTGTAGGGATCTCGCATGGCTCAGTGGTTTCAATTTTGAATGATCACTTGGGCATCAGAAAGCTTTCCGCAAGATGGGTGCCGCGATTGCTCACAGTCGACCACAAACGCAATCGTGTAACAACTTCACAGGAAGGTTTGGCGTTGTTTAATCGCAATATGGAGGAGTTTTTGCGCCGTTTTGTAACCGTGGACGAAACATGGATCCATCACAACACACCAGAGACCAAACAACAATCAAAAGAGTGGGTTTCTAAGGGTGAATCGGCGCCAAAGAAGGCCAAGGTGGGTTTGTCAGCCAATAAAGTTATGGCGACTGTCTTTTGGGATGCACGCGGGATAATCCACATTGACTACCTTCAAAAGGGAAGAACAATCAATGGGGAATATTATGCCAACTTATTGGACCGATTCAATGACGATTTGAAAAAAAAACCGACCTCATTTGGCCAAGAAAAAAGTTCTTTTCCACCAAGACAATGCAAGGGTGCACACATGTGCAGTTGCCATGGCAAAAATCCATGAATTGGTCTATGAATTGCTCCCTCATCCGCCCTATTCTCCAGATTTGGCTCCGAGTGACTACTTCTTGTTCCCAAACCTGAAGAAATGGCTTGGTGGAAAAAGATTTGACTCCAATGATGAAGTCATCTCGCAAACAAAGGCCTATTTTAAGGAACCTCGACAAATCATATTTTTTGGAAGGGATAAAAAAAATTGGAGAAGTGTTGGACAAAGTGTATAGAGCTCAAGTGAGACTACGTTGAAAAATAAAATGATTTATTTATCAAAAAATCTGTGTTTTATTCCAAAAGTCACGGACTTATTGACCCGCCCTCGTATGTATATTACGTGAAAGGAAATCTTTTAACTATTCCTGCTAATATAAGTTTCTAAATTAACTTATAACAAAATTCCGTTATAACATAAAATACAGTACCAGGCGCCCTTAAGCCGTTTATGTGAAAAGTTAGAAAGAAAGCTTTCATTTTATCGTCCATTTCAAAAATTTTAAAGTGCAAAATTTTGGCGCAACTTGAAGTAGATAGAGTGATCGAAGACTTCTACAATTCTACATTTTCTTTGTTGTGTCATGTTTGTTTGTCAGGTTTTTGATGGTAACAAATATTTTCAAGTACTTTGAAACCTGGTTTTTCACCCTGGTATTTTACAAACTGGCTTTTAGATACCCTGGCTGGTGTTGTTTCTCATATCTCATCTCTATCTGTCAGTCGTTGTCAAATCAGGGGTGCCAGGTGTAAATTGAAGATTTGCCCAAAGTTTGACGTCATGAGGATATTCTTGCAAAACAACGTCAGAATATCCTACAATGCATGGTAGATAGGTTGATAAAAAGTCGCCGATTATGTCTGAGAATTAATATCTAAAGGAGATAGCCCAGTTTTAAGCCCATACGTAACAGAAAAAACAAACAGTGGAAAAATATTTTTATTCCATTACAAAAATACTAGGAATAAATTTTAATTTGCAGTTACTAAATGAAAATATTTGTATTTCTTTGAAGTTTATACATTTTGCCGTAAAATAATAAAAAGACATTGTCAGGATTGAAACAAATTTCAGTGACAAAGTATTAATATCAAAATAGAAAATGCCAAAATTCGAAGTGATGCAAGTGAATTTATTTTATGGTTTTCTGTTGTTGTGTTGCATTTCTGGCCTCCTAGTGATTTTTTTGAACATGCTTTTGAAAAAGCTTTAAACTTGAATAAATTTTTTTTTACTATTAGTCAGCAATACCAGCTTCATATCAATTCCCTTAGAAGTTTATATTTTCTTCATCTTCCAGTTTTTTTGCGATCTAGAGACCGAGCGCGCCAGTTTTGTAGCATTCTTCAAAGTCGACTCAGCATGACTAATCCTCGTTTTGTTGGCTTCTAGGCAGTAATTGTAACAATTTAAGCCTATTGGCAACTGCAAGACCTCCAAAATCTTTAGTATACCGAATTCATCGTTGAAAACGCATGTAGCAATTTTTTTTTCAAATGACAACTCCCGCATTAGGAATAAGTATATCCTGTGTTACGGGAGACTTTACACCCAGACTCAGAACAACAATTTGTGGATCACACAAAGCGTAGTCCCATGTGGGGATCGGACCCACAACACTCAGCGTAGTAGTAAGCGGCGTGGCGACCGCTTAAACCACTACGCCATCCGTGCAGTCAATAACCTAAAGACCTAACTTTTATTACGAGAATTAGCCTTCTGACTTATTTTTCTAGACGTATTTATCGCGCAACTCGCCATAACGACAATGCTTTCACGCAGCAACGTTTCCGGCGATAAGTAATACGCGAGTACGAATCTTTTCAGTGACTTATACACTTATACACACTCGCTAGTAATTTAGGCGCGCCTGGGGCGCCTACATTGCATTTCCAACTTATTTCTCTGTTCTGTGTTTCTGACAACGACACTTTAATATTATTACAAAACTTACTTTTATCAAGTTTTTTTTAAACTGCTAACATTGATGAAGTGTCATGTCACTAAAGTGTCATTCTTATTGGTTGATACAAAATAACAATTAGGTACTTCCTGCGATTTAATCAATGGTGATTAACAAGATTCTTGTCTAGTATAAGCTAATTTTTATTTTATTTTAAGTGACGCTAATACAATCTTACTTACAATGACAACAAACACATATGAGAAATGTTCAAGTAAAGATGGGGCTCGGCCATATAAGTGTAGCGACTACGCCAATAAAATATCGCTGAATTTACACAATTTTAAACGTGATGGAAGATTTTGTGATATAGATTTAGTATCGGGCTCAACAAGGGTTAAGGTACATAGACCAAAATTACATTACAAAATTTCTTTCAAGATGCTTGCAAAAATTTCTCTAAAAAGTAATATATTGAAGTTGCCACAGACTTGAAAAAAAAGGGGTGTATAATAACGCTTTTACCTTTCCTCTTCTCATACTAAAACTTACTTTTATTTTTGTGAAATAAAATAGAAGTAATATACAAAACACGACTTTGATACACAGAAAAATCAATTTTTGAATTGTCAGACTACATATCAACTTTTTCAAATGTTATACTAACAAATTCAATATATCTCTTTTTTACTGTGAACAAAGCTAACTAATTTGTAATCACAAAGTTATCAGGAAAGTAATAACACTTTAAAATTACAGGCACATCGTGTAGTACTTGCAGCTAGCTGTGCATATTTTGATGCTATGTTTAATGTTGGTTTAGAAGAAAGTCAAAAAGGAAATGTGGCCCTTCCAAGTGTCCCTCCAGATATCTTGCCTATGATTATAGACTTTATATACACAGGTAATTAGTTATATTTTAAATTGTAGTAAAATATCTGTCTTTACTTTATACTTATTACTGATTGCGGGGACATATAAGTGGTAATTAAAGTTTTGGCTGTTCAAACTGGTTGTTAATCAGCTGAACCAAATGATAGGGTCAAAATTTTCTACTACTTTATAAAATACTAGCTGTACCCTGTCATTCTTCACCTTGGCACATTTTGGTTGTATTGATTGAAAATGAGGAACAACACAGAAATAAATACAGCTTAAGTAATATTTTTAATAGTTGAAAACATATATTCAAGTCATTGAAGACTTAGATATGTAAACAATCAAGTTAATTCAGGCTATAATCTTGGGTGAACCATACTTGGGGTCCTTCCACGGTGGGCTGTTGCCAGACTGAACAGGGACCTACTAGAGGAGGCAGCCATAAGCTCTCTGCCCGCAACGTCCGATACCTCTCCGAGGTGGGCCCCGATTTGTCGGACGCCCAATTCAGTTTTCGAGCGGGGCGTTCAACGGTCGGCGTTGTACTGCGCTAGAGGCCCGTGACCGAAGAGGCGGTAAGCTGTGGCCGCGTGCTGTTGGCGGTGTCATTGGACATCGCCAACGCATTCAATAGCCTGCCATTCAGCTGCATCAGGGAAGCCCTCCACTATCATGGGGTGCCAGAGCACCATGGGCAAATTAATTAGAGGAGCGTACTGTCGTGTACGATTACCGAGATGGTAATCTGAAGTATCGGCCCATGTCGTGCGGTGTTCCGCAGGGTCTGTTCTTGGACCCCTCCTTCGGAATATAGGGTAAAACTGGGCTCTTCGAACTGATTTCCCCCCCGGGCTGGGTGCAATTTGTTACGCCGATAACACATAGGTCACGGCGCGGGGGCGAACTTTCGTCTAATCTGAGACTTTTGTCTAATCTGGGTGGACCCAGCGTCGCAACGAGACAGCTTTACACGGGGGTTGTCCGGTCAATGGCACTGTACGGCGCACCGGTGTAGGCGTGGCGTGGCGTCTTTAGAGGATATAAGCCATACGCGGTTACTGCACCGTGTCGACGGAGGCAGCATACGCGTTGGCCGAAACTCCCCCGTGGGATATAGAGGCGGAAGTGCTCGCCGAAGTATATCGGCAGACGACTGAGTTCCGGGCGGTTAGCGGCAGTCGCCCCGCCCGAAGAAGTGAGTGAGTGGCGCGAGACCACTCGTCGAGCTACCATGGCTTGTTGGTCAGCTGGGGGCTCCACGTGCCGGTTTTGCCACTGTGGAGGCGCTCCAGCCGGGAATCGTCGAATGGGCAGGGCGGCAGCATGGAACCTTTTCCTTCCGTCTGACGAAGGTTCTTTCCGGGCACGGATGCTTTGGGAAGTACCTGCACTCGGTCACTAGGAGAGAATTGAGTCCCGCCTGTCACCACTACGATTACAGTGAGGACTCGGCTCAGCACACACTAGGAATTTGTCTGGCTTGGGCGTTGGGTACTCACTGCAGTCATCGAGGGGGATCTCTCGCTACCGGCCGTCATACACTCCATGGCCGGTAGTGATTTTTAGTAGTTGTTTTAGCGCGGTCGCATGTAGGCGACGTCTGCTTGTGCCGAACGTCGCCTAAATAGAGAATGTACCCTAAGGTGGTGCCCACGCTGTTGCGAGCAGGCGCTGGAAGGGGTCCGGATGTTTTAATAACAGCATCCCTCCAGGCGCAGAGTGGCACACTGTGTGGTTTTAGTCCGATTCCGACACACCACCCCGCCGCAAACCCCGGTGGGGTGATGGCCCGACGGGGTTTCCACACGTAAAAAAAAGAGAAATAGGTGAACCATACTTGAGAGAATATTCATAGATTAAAAACGGGAAAAGTTATTACTTCTGGCAGAGAAAAAAACGGCGTGTAGTGTAATTTTTAGTAGCTATCATTCAGCACACGAGTGAGCAAAGCAGTTTTCAAGAATGGTCAATCTCTAATTTACTACTTCAGTACCGATTGTGAAATATTAATGGATTCACAATGGAATACAATACTCTCATGAATGCAGATCTTTAACACTTCTGTAAACACAGTGGGAGATCTGGGCGTCCTAGAACTGCCAGAACAGTGTGCGTTACCCCAGCAAAATAATGTCGAAAATGGTCATTTAAACGTTATAGATAATTAGTTGCCCCCCCTTCTGTAATTGTTAGGCACATTTTAAAATTTGTTTCACTTAAATTTATTTAGTTATTTAAAAAAAACATTTCCTGCTGGGGTAACGTTAGAAACGTTACCGCGGCCAGACATTTTCTTTTTTAATTGTAATATTGAAATAAATTTTAGCTAAATAATTAGTTATCTGGACTAGGTAAATGTTACAACTTATTGGGTATTTGTATTTTCTTCGGCTGCGAAGTTATTCGAGATCCTGCTGGAGTAACGTTTGTGGGTTTGCTGGATCTCTGAAACGGGTAAGCGGATTGTAACCATCTTTTGTACATAACTTTTTAAGGATCAGTTTTAATTTGTTTAACAATAAAATAACAAAAATAATGGACCGTTTAAAAATTATTTAAGTAAGTATGAAAACTCTTCAATACGTCCTAACACTTTGAATAAGACCTCTAAAGACTTACTTTAATCGTTATTCTATTGCTTGTATTCTATTACCTTCAAATGTATATGAATTTTCGTAAGTATACTGTAAGTGACTAAAAAGTTATGATGAAATGTAGCTCTCCACGTTCACGATCACAATGTGTGCGGCCTTTTTTGGTCACCGATAAACACAGGTTTATCGGTGACCAAAAAAGATATATATGGTATAAGAGATATATATGTGGATATATAAACTGAATGTTATGCAAATAATTAGTTGTTTAGTTCAGTTGTCTACCTGTAAAATTTCAGCGTCGTACATATAATACTTACGAGATAATTAAATAAAAGTCATTAGAAGGTGCAAGACCGTGGTAACCCGATCATGTTTAGGTGGTTACAAAAAAGCGATCACTTAGTACATTGTGCTGGCTTTTAAAATATGTAGGATATTATTTGCAAGTTCAGTACGGATATGTACATAAGTGTTACAAAAAAGTACATGATTTTCAAATAATTTTTATTTAGGATTGTTTATTGCATAATTAATTAGTAATTAGCCGGCCGGGAGATTAGGTAGGTATTGTTTTGAATGCTTTTGTTTTCTCGTAATGTTTTGTTGAATTGTTTATAGTTTTTCATAAAATTATTACCTGTGTAGTATTTGTTAATTGAAGTTTAATTTTAGGGTAGGTATAGGTAATTTAAGTTTTGAAGAGTGTAACGTATGCGTTGTAAATAGGTATTTTGTGAATAGATTGGGATTTTTTTAAGTGATGAATCGACTAAGCCTAGCATATCGCGAACAAACTCTGTATTGCATTATTTCTATAATAATGTTGGAGAAAATAAAATAGTAGACAATATTTGATCACAAAATCGCGGTGAGTTAAATTATAATAAAATAAATTATTTTTGTAAAATTAGTAATAAGTGATATACCTTCCTACAAGTTATGATCGTTTTTAATTTGTTCACCTCGAACGAAATTTCAATATTAGCATTAGTAATTAATATCCTAAGACAAGAATTGACAATTACTTAAATTGAATCTAATTAGCATTAATGCACATTATTAGTAATTAGGTACACACATATTGAAGAACTCTCAAGAATACGATAAATATTTGCAAAAATTGCACTTTACAAGACGTATATTATCTGCCTAAGGGTCAAGTTTAGTCCAGTAGATGCAAATTGCAAACAATGAAGAACCCCTTCGCCCTTCCCCTCCCGCGTTCTAGCTAAGGATGTATTATCGGTGATTCTTGATTGACAAATATTATCTGACCAATAAATTTATCTATAAAAATGTATCACTTTCACTCGATAAATTAAATTACCGTTATTACCTATATCAAAATATCATTTAACAACTGTTCGTTTTTAACAGAAATCAAGTCACGGGCTCAACGCTTAGCGGTAGGTACATAGGTATAGATACCCTATTAGGGTATACCCTATTAGGGTAGATGACTGTCAAGTCAAATCAGTGTCTTTTTTTAAACGTCAAAACGCTAGACGCGGTACATTTTTGTATGAGATACTAATTCGTGACGTCATACCTAGTTATTGTCAAAACCTTTATATTTAACGTTGATTTCAAGATATCAAATCAATAAAAAGATTAAATTGACAATTGAGAACAATTCAGCCTCTACTTTGAGATGTTACATTTAATGATGCAGGCTAAATAATTTATTTTAAACCTAGGAATCTACCCTATTCTCGGTTCTCGGTATAAACCACAGAACAATATTACTCTTACGAGGTATACGACTGTTGAGCGATGCAATGTTGATGCATTCTAAATTACAACTGTATTCTTCTACTGTTATGGTCTATTTTAACTTATTGTAGATGACTTGTTGATTTAAATATTTTGATGCATTCAAGTCTAGGCTCTATACACCTCAAAATAAAATACAATTACTTCAGTGTTATTTCTTTACAAAAAATCAAAGAAATGAAACGATTTCTTATTGGTTTAAATTTTCGATTTATTGCAGTCAGGTAAATCGTTCATACATGTATCTATATATTTATAATTTTAGCGGGAAAGTGCAGATTTTCTGTTGATTGTAGCTCCGGTAGTTAAAAAGATTAAAGAATTTTAAGTAAAGAAACTAGTACTTAAGATCCATTAGGAAAAATAAACAAAATAAATAATAAGTAATAAAATAATAATGAATAAATATTGAATGTATTTAACACTGTACGCAACTGTACCGAAATCGTAAGGTGTATTACACTAAACATTTTAAAAGACAGCTCAATGTACTGGGTGATCGCTTTTTTGTAACCGCCTAAACATGGTCGGGTTACCACGGTCTTGCACCTACTAATGACTTTTATTTAATTATCTCGTAAATTATTATATGTACGACGCTGAAATTTTACAGGTAGACAACTGAACTAAACAACTAATTATTTGCATAACATTCAGTTTATACATCCACACACAGGTTTATCGGTGACCAAAAAAGGCCGCACACATTGTGATCGTGAACGTGGAGAGCTACATTTCATCATAACTTTTTAGTCACTTACAGTATACTTACGAAAATTCGTATACATTTGAAGGTAGTTACAAGCAATAGAATAACGATTAAAGTAAGTGTTTAGAGGTCTTATTCAAAGTGTTAGGACGTATTGAAGAGTTTTCATACTTACTTAAATAATTTTTAAACGGTCCATTATTTTTGTTATTTTATTGTTAAACAAATTAAAACTAATCCTTAAGAAGTTATGTACAAAAGATGGTTATAATCCGCTTACCCGTTTCAGACATCCAGCAAACCCTCAAACGTTACTCCAGCAGGACCTCGAATAACTTCGCAGCCGAAGAAAATACAAATACCAAATAAGTTGTAACATTTACCTAGTCCAGATAACTAATTATTTAGCTAAAATTTATTTCAATATTACAATTAAAAAAGAAAATGTCTGGCTGCGGTAACGTTTCAAACGTTACCCCAGCAGGAAATGTTTTTTTTTTAAATAACTAAATAAATTTAAGTGAAACAAATTTAAAAATGTTCCTAACAATTACAGAAGGGGGGCAACTAATTATTTATTATTTTGCTGGGGTAACGCACACGCCAGAACATCAAAAAATTGAATTTTAAGTTTAAAAAACTTAGCATTAGAAAACGTCGGTTCAAACTAATCAGAGCAACGTTACATTGCATATTATGTTCCGATTTGTATCTCAAGGCATACAAAATTCAGATCGTGCGATTACTAAATGATTATGGTTATGTTTTAAGTTGTCAACTAGTGTTACCAGCTCCTCCAGTACTTAGATAATCATCAGCTACTCAATGACTGACAATATGACGATGATCTATATGATAGACGACCGGTTGGCATAGTGGTATGTGTAACTGACTGCTATTCCAAAGGTTAGGTTAGGTTCGATTCCCGCTCCGGTGTGGGTGGCGGCTCTGACCGCCCAGAATAGGGCGCGCCTTTGGCGTCCCCAGAGGATATTGGCGGTCAGAGCCATACGCGGATACCGCACGGTGTCCACCGAGGCAGCTTGCGCCTTGGCCGGAACACCCCCGTGGGATTTGGAGGCGGAAGTGCTCGCCGAAGTCTATCGGCGAGTGGCTGACTTCCGGGCGGAGAGCGGATTTCGCCCTCCGCCCGCCGTGGAGGCTCTCCAGCCGGTCATCGCCGAGTGGGCAGGGCGGCAGCATGGGACCCTTTCCTTCCGGCTAACGCAGGTGCTTTCCGGGCACGGTTGCTTCGGAAAGTACCTGCACTCGGTCGCCAGGAGGGAATTGAGTCCCGCCTGCCACTACTGCGACTGCAGTGAGGACTCGGCCCAGCACACGCTGGCGGTCTGCCCAGCATGGGCGACGCAGCGCCGGGCCCTCACTGCAGTCATCGGAGTGGATCTCTCGCTACCGGCCGTAGTACGCTCCATGGCCGGTAGCGACAGTTGTTTTACCGCGGTCGCAACCTTCTGCGAGGAAGTAATCTCGCAGAAGGAGGCGGCGGAGAAGGCCCGGGAGGACGACCTCCACTCGGACCCGATCCCCTACCGGCGAACCGGGCGGCGGAGGCGCGCTTACCTGCGCCTCATGCGCCCTGAGTGTGGCCGCGGGTGGACGGGATGGGTTTTCCCATCAGCAGTCGTATCTTTGAACAGGAATTCCGCCATTTCAGCTGAGCAAAAAAAAAATTTTAAATAGAAGTCCTTCAAGCAGAGTTTTGAAGTACATCGAAATAAAAGGGCCCATAAACGTAAATTAGATTTGGAAAATCCAGTAAAAAAGAAACGTAGCTTTCAAAACGCTAATAACGACGGGATGGGTTGGGTTTTCCCCTCCACCCGCATTAGTTTGGCCAGCCGCGAGGGGGCGGCGTCCGCGTGTGCCGGACGTCGCCTAAAGAGAGGAATTTGAGACGGAGCCCGCACCAGGAGCGGGCCGGCGCTGGGAGGGGTCCAGAAGGCGATAACTGCCTGGACCCCCCCCTAAAATAGAAGCGCAAAGAGGGCACACCGTGTGGTTTTAGTCGGTTCGAGTCCGACACACCGCCCCGCCGAACAGAAAACCCCGGCGGGGTGACGGTCCGAGGGGATTTCCACACGTAAAAAAAAAAAGCTTCGATTCCCGCTCACGTCAAACACTTGTGTGCATGAACATTTAATGTTTGATTTGGTTTGGGTGTTTCCATGTATAATAAGAATGTATTTACAAAAAAGTTCATTTGTATTTATATCAGTTTTCTATAATAGTACCCATAGTACAAGCTCTGCTTAGTTTGGGACTAGATGGCGTTGTGTGAATGTTATAAACAACATAAAAAAATAACATTTTAGCCGGGTCGCTCAGCTGGTGATCGTCTCGTCTTTCTAACACACCGGTTTACACAGGCAACCGAGCAAGGAAGAGGCTTGTGCGGTTAGTTTGGATTTGGATTGCAAAGGCCTTCGATCGGGCGCTACTCTCAAAGCTCCCTTCCTATGGGCTCCCCGAGAAATTATGTAACTGGGTCACCAGTTTCCTTGCGGACAAAAGCAAAAAGGTCGACTGCATGCGCAGACTTCAAATCCGGAAATGCTGGTGTACCGCAAGGCTGTGTGCTAACACCCACACTGTCTTCTGCATATCAATGACATGTTGCAAACTAGTAGCATCCATTGTTACGCAGATGATAGTACGGGAGATGTCCTTTATACCAGCCGGCTCAAAATTTCTCGGGAAAAGTCATCGAGAGTCGAAACAAACTTGTGTCTGAAATTTAATTAACTAACTTTCTTATAGGAGGTTTCACATTGTGGTCTACTGAATCTAGTCCATTTTAAACCAGAAAAAACTGCCTCGACCAGTATTGGAATCCTAGACATCGATATATCGAGCGAAGTCCAGTTTCGGGGTAATTTAGAGGGTAAGGTCAAATTGACCTCGAAGAAGCTCGGTGTGCTGAACAGATCGAGGCAGTATTTCACTCCCGCCCACAGCCTTCAGCACTATAAGGCGCAAGTCCGGCTGCATATGGAATACTGTTCTCATCTCTATGCAGGGGCACTTCAGTATCAGCTTCTCCCTCTGGCCCGCATCTAACAAAGAGCGACTCGAATCGTCGATACCCAAAAGATCTCCGATCGGCTCGATCGATTGGCGTTACGTACAGATGTAGTTTTACTCTGCTTTCTCTATCGTATATATCATGGAGAGTGCTCCGATGGATTGTTCGGACTAGTACAGGCCCCAACTTTGCGTCATCGTTCCGCACGGCAAAATTTTCAACCCCATCACTTGGATAATTGGCGCTCCACCACTGTGCCACCAATCTGTGTGACCAATCTGTGAAACAAGTTTTCGTCTGCGGTATTTCCGGACCGATACGATCTTCAAACCTTCAAGAAAAGAGCGTTCTCCTTTCTAAAAAGCCGACAACGCGTTTGTGACTTCTGAGTTGCAGGCGTTCATGGGCGGCGGTAGTTACTTTCCATCAGGTCCAGAACGATCGTTTGCTCGTCTGCCCCCTCTTCCATAAAAACGGCTCCAAGTCAAGTCTCCTTAGTAATCCTGCTATACAGAGGTTTAATTATATTGGTCTCTTGGCTAAGTAAAAAAGTAAGTACTAAGTACTTATTAAGTACTTTATGAAAAAAATTGGTTAGAAAACATAACGTAGCGTTAGCGACTAGCGTAGTACTGTTTTCGTAATGATCTATAGGGTGACCGGACCCTCCATATTAGCAATGTGGGGTGCAGTACTCTAGATGTCAGGTGGCGGAAAGTGAAACCTGTGGAACTATTAGTACTTATATAAATATCTGGCCTAGGCAACTAAGTAAACGTTAGGTATCAAGACATTTGCTAACTGTTTGATTACATGGCTAAACGTGTGGGCCTCCAGCTGGACGGCGCCTTGAAATTAAATGTCCAATACGTAAATTAACATATACTAGATATTATTACAATGACAGTCTTTCCACTCATCATGCATGAGGATATTTATGCTGCTACTATTATTTTAGGTGAAATAATTATTGATAAAGGAACTGTACAACACTTATTAATTGCTGCTGATATGCTACAGTTACGGGAATTGGTCACAGGTTGTGGGGAATTTTTAAGAAGAGAACTACATCCCTCAAATGCCTTAGGAATATTTCGGTAACTTTTAGTTTTATAAGTATTTTAAATGCAATTTATTTTTATAAATAGTAGGTCATTAACATGAAGTTAATTTAAGTATTTGTAATTTGTTATTGTGTTAATCATGTTTTAGTATACACCAATAAAATAAATTGCTTTCATTAAATTAGGTTTGCAGAAGCTCACAACTGCATAGAGTTGGTAAAAGAGGCACTAGAGCATGTTCAAGCCAACTGGAATATTGTATCTAACGGTGATGAGCTTTTAGAATTGCCATTACCACAGCTAATAACTTTGCTTTCATCTGAACAATTAAAAGTTGACAGTGAAGCACAGGTATGTTCTCATGCAAGTAGCGTTAAGTCATTAAATATCTTTTACACCTAATAAACGCATCCATAGTCAGTAATTTAATTATCCGACGTATATTTGTTCTCGTTATTTTCTTTTTTAGACTTTCACTATCAACATTTAGTTATTTTGTTACAATGAATATAATTATTTTTGAACAAAGTTAAAATATTACTGTAAATATATTTTAAACGATTTTAGGTTTTATATCCGGCTCTCCGATGGTTAGAGCACGATCCAACATGTCGTCGACGTCACTGTTTTGAGGTATTGAGTCACATACGCTTACCACTGATCTCACCTGAAGTTTTAGATCAAGCGATAAAAAGTATACAAGATCCGTCTTTAGCAGTGGCACTAAGAACAATCTGTAAGGATATGGTAAGAATTACGATCTGACCTTAACCTAACGTCCTCGCTATAGTCGCGATTTTTGAGGTCGTTTAACATTTGTTCAAATAAGCCGCGTTTTCCACGCGAAAATGCCTTATTTTTATAATGGCATACGGCCATTTTAATAAGTGTCCATAAACCGTTTGTTCAATAGCTCGAGTTCAGTGACACTTTATTTCATGCATTGAGCGTATTTTAATTATATATTAAATAAAAATGAGAGCGAATATTATTGCGCACTGACGCTTTTTCTTTTCAATGATAGGTACAATATGAAAAAAAAAACCTCTTTCTACTGCTGTATATCTTGTCATAGAAAACTAAAAAAACGTAACTAATGTAATAAGTGTAATATCTATTCTCAGTAAGAATTAAAACTTTCTATGTCGATTAGTGATCACCGACAGGTTAGCTGATAAAACTGAAACAGAAAAAACGGATATTATACTTAAGTTGCTTATCTCCTCGTTTCTAAATTAGTTTGTTGTAAATTAGACAAGAAAACAAAATGTTTATAAAATAAAAAATATATTTAACGACATAGATTTATTTGATGTCAATGAAGACTAATCGTTATCGTCAGAAAATGTTTCTTTAAACATATATAAAAGTAGATTTTACCTCTTGCAGAAGTCTGGTAGAGGTGCTCTGGTAGCGCTGGCAGTGGAGCCACGTCAACGCGCGCGACGTATCTTGTTGGTCGTTGGTGGGTCTTGTCGTGACAAAGCTGCACACCCACCTCTCACAACTGACAATATTCTCTCATCAGTGCTCAAATTTGATTTACATAAACGGTAAAAATTTGCATGTTATTTATTAATAGTCTAGTTACTACATACAGTACAAACTAGTATTTATAATATATCTTTAAATTGTATATGGATTTAATTTCTAGAGAATGGGAGGAGTTAGAATCAATGGGCATAGCGCGAATCCAACCCGGCGTCGCAACTTTGGGTGGTCGAGTGTATGCCGTTGGAGGAGAACAAGGCAGTCAAATACTCGCCAACGGAGAGGTTTATGATCCACAGGTTGTCGATAACCTTTAATTTACCCCTCCATTTAAAATGGTTATGACAATTTAATATTGGAATTTAAGAACGAACTGGTATTTTTCAGACTGATAAATGGTCAAATATTGCACCTATGAAAGAAGCGCGGTGTGAATTCGGATTAACAGGCTGGAATGGTAATTTATACGCTTTTGGAGGTTGGGTCGGATCTGACATGGGATCGTCAGTAGAAGTATACGACCCCGTTGCCGATGAGTGGACATTAGTAGGGAGAATGCCTGAACCTCGGTTTGGTATGGGTGTTATTAATTATAAAGGTAATTGTTATTATAAAATATTTATACGTTCAACTATTCAATATATTCGTTAATAATATACTTAGATTATTTTCAGGTCTCATATACATTGTAGGAGGATGTACACACACTTGGAGACATACTAAAGACTTATTATGCTATCATCCTGGTACTCGTAAGTGGCACAAGTTAAGCTCGATGCATCACGATCGTAGTCAAGCGGCAGCAGTTGTTCTAGATAACTACCTATACGTTATCGGTGGTAACGCGCCTAGGCGGACAGTGCTTACATCGGTAGAAAGATATAGCTTTGACGAGGTAAATCCTTTAAAGATTTTTAAATAAGTAATAATAGATAAGACAATGGCACATCAAATGTTTATCGGAGAGTTTGTTTGTTTGTTTGGCGGCGGATGGCGGGTGGTAATCTGGGCCTTGGAGTAGTACAGAGCCCCTTCGTATCGACCGAATTGACCCCAAGTGGCCTTGGGCGGTGATATGGGGGTGGGACAAAATTATTTTTTTCTTAGCGAAGCAACCGGACAAAATTGCGGTTGCTTGAAACGCAGTTGCACCTTAATTATTATAATTTAAAAAATATGTCAGCCAAAACACGCGGGCCGTTTTCGTACTAGCGAATGAAAACAAAAAAAAAGTTGTGAGGAAACCGCTTGATAATTGGTGAGTATTGACACCACCAAAAAAATTGCCATCCGATCCTGATGAGCAGTTTTGGAGAAACAATCCTTTAAAATCGCCAAAAAAACTCATTTTCTTTTTTTCAACATTTCGTTCATCATCTTTCTGCGGCTGTTCCAATTTTTATTCGGGGTTAGCGCGATGAGGTCTTGCCGTCTGGACCTTCTTCACCGTTGGAACGTATGATTTCAGGGGGTGTGGGAAGAAGTGGCGAGTTTGAAGTATGCGCGCGCGGGGTGCGCGGCGGGCGCGGCGGAGGGCGTGCTGGTGGTGGCGGGCGGCGACAGCGAGAGCGCCCGCGAGCGCGCCTTCTACCGCGCGCGCACCACGCTGGCCAGCGTCGAGCTGTACGAGCCGCGCAGCGACGTGTGGCGCGCCGGCCCGCCGCTGCCGCACTCGCGCGCCGAGGCCGGCGCCGCGCTGCTCTGACACCCCGCGCACCCCCGCATTTCCGAAACAAACTTGTGTACTTTAGCCATTCATTTTACAATTTTGAAGTAGGATTTGATGTGCAGATGCCGACGGACCCGAGAGGGCAGTGTTCAGTTTTAAACTCTTTTACGTTTCTATTTCATGGATGTACAATGTTTTAAAGCGACTACTGTTTTGCAAGCTTGTTAATGTATAAAGTGTAAAGTTACGAGCCGAAAACATATTTCTTACCTTTTATAAACACCAGGAATCTATTCTTATCGATCCCAGACTGATGGACTAAAATAGTTAAGTTTTAGCTCTCATGTCGAACGTGTACATTCGCAAATTTAAGGCTGAGACTTCCAGTATCTAATTCATGCATCTTATTTAAAAACGCAAATCTGAAAGCAAGTAAAAACACGATATATCTTCACAGTGACTCCTTCCTTTTGCGATTTTTTTTTTCTAAAGGTCACAAAGTAAGCTTATTTCACAGGAGCTAGTTAGTAATACCAAGTCGGTAGCTTTATTTAACATATCCAATAATACGTTCTGCGTTATATTGTCTGCTGTGAGTGCTCAAGAGAATGATTAATTAATCGATTATGAAGTGTAAATAATACCATTCATATTTTGTGTAAATTAAAAATGCTTTTTTTTAAATAATATTAATTAACTGTATGCCAAAATTTTCATTGGAAAGTTAGTAAATGTGACGAATTATAAAAATTTAAAATTAGCAGAAAGATGTACAGATCAAACATTTCCTTGCGCTGTATGGCCGAAATATGTTTGGCCAATAGCTTGAAGGTATTTAGAGCTTCCATAAATCTTGAAGACGTGTGATAAAGTAAAACAAGAATTAATTATAAAAGTTATTATCCATTTATGGGGTGGGTAAATGTCTCTGAAATTGGACACAGATTAATTAATTATTCAACCTTTACATGGGTAATTGCATGAGTCGGAAAACGTGCATTTAAAATGCCTCATATTTACTGATGACCAGGTCCCATTTGTTTCATTAGCAAAAGACTTGTAGAAAATAGTGAAAAGCATAACTAAGGCCCTATATAAAGTTGTGAAATTGAACGTAAGTAAGACCAAAGTTATAGTTTTTGAAAAGAATAAATAAATTGATTGAATTTAATATTATGAATAAAAGTGAATGATCGTATACGTATGAATAAGCATTACCGAAGGATGAGAAATCAAAGAAGAGTATGTCAGCCAGAGTTGGGTATGTAAGACTAAATGATAAAAGTAAAATAAAATATGGTGTTAGGTCATGGGAGAGTAAACATGGGTTACATGATATATATAACATTATACTATTTATTGATGCCAGTCATCAGGACAAAACAAAACCAATGAAAACCTTTCGAACTTGATAGAACCTTAGATAATTTATACGTCTAGAAAGACAGTCGAACCTGTGAAAACAGAGGAAAAAAAATAGCGCCCAACTGTCCGCCTCTAAATGCTCCCGCGTTTAGTATTATAAGTAATGTCACTCAATACGCACAAATCGCTTTAATATTTTGTGTTGTTTATTATGACGATTTGTGTGATAAAAGTGTATAGAAATTATAATGGGCGATCTGGTCCGTGTGGTGACATATTAAGAATACGGAATGTCACCACCCCTATTCATCCCGTGTGTGTCGTAAGAGCCGACTAAGGGAGTAAACTACGCAGGACAACAACACTGCAAAGAGAAGGAAAACTTGACACAAACCCTATACCAACCCGTCTGGCCAGCGTGGTATAGTAGGCCAAAGCCTCCTTATAAGGAGAGGCCTATGTCCAGCAGTGGACTATTAAAGGATGGAGCAGTGGATGATGATGAATGGGCGATATAAATAAAATTTCAAAGTCATCTCACATCGCTAAGTTATTATATTTATAAAATAATTTATTTATCAAAAAGGCTATTTTTGTATATGTTGCTAGTTTTATGAACTCAAGTCAAAACTCCCTTAAAAATGTGTTGTACTATGTATTTTATGTAATACTTACTGGTAACCTCCTTATTCTGTAGTTATGTATAGGGAATTAGTAAAATTCCAAAATCTATAAAATTTAAATGGATATCATTATTTTTTAATTTTAAAGTGAATCATTTTAAAGTAAATACTTTGTGATTTTTGGTAGGAGTATAATTTCATGGGTTGGCCTTGACTGCGATGGTGCACGGGTAGCGTATGCGACTGCTGTGCAGAGGTCTCGGGTTTGATTTTTGGGTCGGACAAAATTTTTGTGTCATCTGCAAACAATATGACAAAATGTTTGGGTTTTTATAAAAATATGTACGGAGTTACAAAAACAATTTTTAGGTATTCATTTAGCCAATATAGCTTTCCTAGAGCCTTGCTTAGTTTGAAGCCAAATGGTGATGAGTGAAAAAGAAAACTAATGTCACGTGTTGAGCGACACAAAACAATATTTATCATATTGTTTTTCTTAGAGTATATTTTACCAGATGAAAAATACTTTCAACACTTAAAACTTTCCCTATTATTCCCTATCCCTAGAAATTAAAAAACTGCTTTCACTTATGCACGCACACTAATATTGAAAACTTGGCTCATTTCTTTTTGTTCTTTTGAAGCGTGATGCTCTATCTAGACATATAAATAATCTAAGGATAGATAGAAGATTTAAATTACATTTTTCTTGGAGCTGTGTCTGATAAGTGGATCACAAACTTTTTCGTTCTTAGATACAATAGCCAATGGATTACGTGGTCCGTTGAGAGTAACAAAGTTTTCAAACGGAAGGACAGAAAGATATTGTGATTGCTATTGATAACGAACTGGTAGATGTTGTTTATGTAATCGATTTATCATTACCTTGCATTTATATAAATAACTATTAAACACTTGTGCTCTTAGTAAATATTTTTTAAAACATGGTGTTGACCACATCAGCCTCATTTTAAGGTAATTATTTATGCACTTTGTAGTTTATAAACTAAAATCGGGCCAAAAACTAAATATTTTATATATACTTCTAAATTGTACATTTCATCCTTTTATAATCGGGTACGTATTAAGTTAATGACATTTTAATGTATTCATAACAAAGTTTTGATACATGTTATAATTATGTTACTGTATTACATTTACCTATTAGTAGATGATAACGACCCTTCCAACATTAGTTAAATTTATTTTCTTATTTATTGCGTAAATTATATAATGTGTTCAAATTAGTATTTACTAAATTATATAAGAATGTTAGCTTACGTTTGGGACTGCCGTTAGGTAGCGTTATTTACATTTGAAATAACATAAGCCGAGTGATATTAATAAATCAAATATAACTTAAGAATTAAAATATTATTAAATATTTTTATTATACGATGGTTTTATTTGTTCCATGTTAGGTTCAAGCATCAAGGCTGTTTCATCAGACAAAACTTCTTTTCTATACATAATAATCTAAGACGCACATTTATAAGACGCGTCTGTGATAGAGTGGTCGGCTTGAAGCCCAGCCCTGATTTAGAGACAAACCGACCAGGCGAGATGGTCATGCCTTTATTACATCATGGCTGATGTGAATTTGTTTATATACTTATCGGCTTGAGAGGTTTCATGGCGCGGTACAGTCCGTAGTTCGGTGCTCTTAGATGGCACAGCAGTATGTTTATGTTTTATTGTATGTAGAATATTTAAATGTAATTTGGAACAAGAATTATTTACAAAATAAATAAATACGACTGCTGCTCAAAATTATATATAATTAAGTTTATAAATTTTATTTATAGATTTACAAGTCAAAATTAAAATAAAACAATTGTATAGAATTACTAGCGGACCCAACAGATGTTACAGCACACGTCTTAAACTAAAAAAAACATTTTGTAGTGGACCGAATTGTGAACCTAAACCATTCTCGAATCCACTTGAACACACACAAATAATTTCATCAAAATCAGTGCGAGGAATTCAGTCACATACACACGCACAGAAGAATTACATGTATATATATATTAGTGATGTAAGATTTCTGACATTCGCGAATGCGAATGCTGTTGCGAATATTCATATCAAATATTCGCGAATACGAATGCAAATGCGAATAACGGTTTAAAGAAAGTGTAACTTTCAATAAGTAAGTGATATAAAAACATGAGTAAAGCCCGTTTTACCGAAGTTTGGACTTATTTTACAATTTGTGTCACTGAAAGTGAATCTTAAAAGTTAATTAAAAATTATAAATCATAACAGTTGTATTATCCTTCCAGATCCATCTAGTCCATATAGTTATAATTTCCATTTTGTTACTCAAATACATTTGCTAAACATTCGCTTCGTTTCTTGCGAATACGAATGCGAATGGCAAAAAATATGCGAATATTCGCTAATGCGAACATTCGTTACATCACTAATATATATATATATATATCTAAAGATATAAATTGTCCAGTTATCATGGCTCAATAAACTAACAAGATATATCTTGTTAGTTTATTGAGGTTTTTATGTGGGTTGGTAACAAATTGTCAAATCATTTCGATCGACCGTGTAGGGTCGATAGAAGGTGCATTTTGAAAGCTTTCTTTTCAAATCTAACTACCTTTACTTATTTCTGATTAAAAGCATTTTTAGTTTGGTTATGAAATGTAAGGTGTTTCGGAAGTACGAAAGATATCTAATACTAAACAGTAAATGCTGGAAATTTGCAGTCTGAAGCATATTTTATGTCTTCAGCTAAATAAAGTCTTCCGAGTAATCCTTCGAACAAGGATGCTGGCCTGTCCGGTCGGTGTAATTCTGTACCCTGTCGTTCCACGGCACACCACTCGAGAAAGCAACAGGCTCGATATAGATACATGGGATTCTGTAATGTACAATATTTGAACGTCTCAATTTGAAATTATAACAATAATATGGTAGGTATGTTGCTTTAAGGTTTAAGTGTCAAAAATATATGAATTTGTATCCTACAATGGCTTTAACCCTTAATCAAACAATGGTAGGATATGTGCCACATTCAGATGGCAAACTATTTATGGATAAAAACAATTAAATCTGAACGCATCCACTTTTTTTCTTTTTTTTTTGAACTCTGCGGATGTCACTCGATGTTATGTTGGCACTACTGCTATGAAATAATATGACGTTTAATTGTCAGACGAGGTCAAAATTAAAAAAGTGCGCGAAAATATCGCCCGAGACCTATTTTTGGCAAAATTTATTGAAATATTTGATTTGTGGCTTGAAAAATTTCGGTAAGTACATATTGATGCTTTATTTATATACTTTATGATGCTGTTAAGTGTACGGGCTATAGAAATGGTAACTCACAATATTTTATGTATTGAAAAAAAACGTTGAAAGTATGTGGCTAATATATGACCGTTGTCTGTTTAGATTTTTTGTTGGTATATAATGTGTCCAAAATACGACCGTTGTCCATTACTTTCCCTTATATTATTTTCATTAGTTGCAAATTTTAAATGTTTTGATTTGTAATTCAGTGTTTACAATGTTCTTACAGAGAAAGATGTCATCAAATAGACCATTATCTAACCATGCGCTACAAAACATATTAGAAAATTGGTCGGATATTGATTCGGAAGACGATGAAGAAATTTTTGTACCTTCTCCGCGAAATACAATTTTAGGACTCCCCAATGATGACATCATCGATTGCAGGATGGCAGAACTCTTTAAGGATAATCTACTAAATGATATGGATAATGTTTTAGACGGGATGACTGTGCCTGTGGGCGAAACACTTGCAGATACTACCTCCGTGAATCTACCTGAAACATGTAACACAGGAAGTTTGTCAGGTGCAACTGCCACTGCGTCTTCTTCGTTGAATTTATCGATCACGAGAGAAGATAGAACTTATAGAGACTGGAAAATTAAAAACAAAATTCATCAGATACCTCAATTTATATCAAAATTTAGCCCAAAAATGTTATATTCCCATAAGAGCCAGCCCCTTGATTATTTTAGTAATCTTTTTCCTGACGAAATAATAAATATGATTGTAACTGAAACGAATCGTTATGCTTCTCAGAAAGATTGCAGAAACTTTCAGCCTACTACTTCAGCAGAAATAAAGGCGTTTTTGGGTGTGATGATTATGATGGGATTACATCCTTTGCCAGATTTTGAGCTATATTGGTCATCGGATCCTTTTTATAATAACCCTGATATTTCATCAACATTCACCTTGAACAGATTCAAGAAAATACTACAAAACTTACATTTAAACGATAATAGAACTGAAGAACCGCGAGATTCCGTAAATTTTGATAGGTTACATAAACTGAGACCACTAATTGATCAGTTGAATGCAATATTCTTACAGCAGGCAGAAGAATCTGGCATTTATTCAGTGGACGAGTGTATGGTAAAATTTAAAGGTCGGTCTTCTATGAAACAGTACATGCCTATGAAGCCAATCAAGCGTGGCTATAAGGTATGGGCTCGTTGCGATGCACGTACAGGTTACTTATATTGCTTCGAAATTTATACAGGTAAAACAGACACCTTGGATGAAGCTGGGTTAGGTTTTACCGTAGTAACTAATCTGTGTAAGAATGTACCTCGTGATTCACTAGTTACATTTGATAATTTCTTCACAAGTTGCAAACTGGTCGATGTTTTGTATCAGAATGGTATTTTTTCAACCGGAACTGTAAGAAAGACTAGAAGAGGGTTACCCGAATTTATGAAGGAAAAGCCACACAGCAAAAAAGAAAAATTAGCAAAAAATGAATTTTGTGCAATGACAAGTGAGCCTATAGTCGCTGTAAAATGGTTAGACACAAAAGAAGTTACTGTTCTAACATCGGCGCATAAGCAATCAGAGGTTGCCATTATAAAGAGGACCCAAAAAGATGGTTCAAAGAAAGAAGTTTTCTGTCCAAAAGCGATAGCAGATTACACTTTACACATGGGAGGGGTGGATCATTTCGACCACTTTCGGTCATCATATCCAACAGGAAGAAAGTCGAGGAAATTTTGGATGCGTTTGTTCTTTTTTATGCTTGATGCTGCAGTCATAAATGCCTACATTCTGTTCCTATCAAAACATGCCCAACGAGATTCTGCCCATCGTGAATTTAGGCTGCGACTTGCTAGAGAACTCATTGGCAGTTTTACGTGTAAGAAACAGAGGCCAATTATTTTTAAAAATAAGAAAGGCGGCAACTTTGGCGTCCCTGATGAAATTAGGCTTCAAAGTGTAGGTATACATTTCCCAGAAGCGCAGCAAACCTATAAACGGTGCAAGTTCTGCTCGACGAGGAAAGAGACGAAGAGGTCTAATATTAAATGTTCATTTTGTGGTGTATCCCTTTGTGTGAAGGGTTGTTTTAAGAAATTTCATTTAGCTGAAAATGAATAATAATACAAAAAAATGTATGTCCATTAAAATTGTTGTGTAATTGTAATAGTCCATTAAAATTGTTTAAGTATTTTAGTATTTCTATTCAGACAATGGTCATATATTAGCCACCTAAAAAATTAGTACATAGGTCCTTTTTTTTATATATATTTATATGTAGGTATGTTTTTAAGTGTATATTCAACCAGAAAATTGCGAAAACCCCATCATTCCAATCTTAATGGCTTGGATCCGATTAAGGGTTAATATAAATAGAACTAAGTTAGTGGGCAATATTACCGAAGTAGGGTACAGCATATTCCTGTTAGTCCCCGCGTATTTTTAATTTATTAGCATATTGCTGTTTACGCTTGGTGAGTAGGTTGCAAATAGAGGTAAAGCTTCACCGGGAACCATTTATCATTAGGAGGGCCGTGAGCTTGGTTGCTAAGATTTTGGTATGAACGGAAATAATATTTATATATTTAATAATATTTACACGGTGCAGTGTAAGGGACGTCGTAACGAACACTGAAATAGTGTATTCAGACCATAATTCTGAGTCGAAAATCATAGGAATTTTCTGTCGGCAAATTAAACTTTTTATGCAATCAGCTGCGCTTCGGCTGTTTGACTAATTACATTGCAGTTTTTTGGTATTTCTTAAATTGTTTTCGGTAAAATGTTCTGTCTACTCATTTGTGATATCATTTTTCATCATTGTTTACCCGAAAAAATAAATTTAAAAAAAAAACAATGATTTACTATTTCAGTACTTCAGTATTCGGTACGATGTCCCTTACACCTTATATACATATATATATATATATATACAGTAGGTGGCCAAATTATTAGGGACAGTATCGAAATTTTTGATTTTTTTAGTTTTATTGGATTTCTGTAAAAAACGATTAGTTGTAGGTCCCTTATATATTTTTTCTTTGTATCTGTATTCTATAAGGATCACAAAAACTACAAAAAAATATACAAAACTGATTTATATTCTTCGTATGAGTATATTTTTTAATATTTAGTGATGCCACCCTTTGCTGCAAGAAGAACTTCTATGCGTCGGGGCATGCTCTCAATACATTTTTTTGCATTTTCCTGGATTTTGGAGTTGTGATGCCATTCTCTGATGAGAGTTTTAATCAATTGTCGCTTAGTCGTAATCACTTCTTTCGCGTTCGCCCGTTTGGTGAGTTCCCACATGTTTTCTATTGGATTCATGTCTGGTGAATTCCCTGGCCAAGGCAAAACAGAGACATTTTTTTCAGTCAAAAATGCGGTTACACTTCTAGCTTTGTGGCACGGTGCTGAGTCATGCATAAAAATGTATTCGTCATCATCAGGGAACCATTCATTGACCTGCGGCAGTAATCGCGTTTCTAGTACTCGCTTGTATTGGTCTTGTTTCATAGTCCCTTCCACGATGTATAGGCGCCCCATGCCTTTGTCTGAGATGACAGACCACACCATGACACTAACCGGGTGTTTAACCTTCTCTACAAGGCAATCAGCGTGAAATTTCTCACCAGGACGTCGTCTTACAAAAGAACTTTTGTCAACCAAAATTTGGAAGGTTGATTCGTCGGAAAAACACACCTGTAATTAATAGAATGAATAGTAGAATAAATAAATAAATTGTTATTGACAATTGCTTTATACAAAATAGTTACACTTACTCGACTCCAGTCTGCCATAGTCATTTATCGATGTTGCCTAGCCCATTGGAGTCGTTTCTTTTTCATACTATCGGTTAGGCGTGGTTTTTTGGCAGGCCGCCGTCCCATCAGATTCTCTTCGACCAACCGCCTCCGCATTGTCCTCTCTAAAATCTTTACGCCCTCTTCGTTTATCATGGTTGTTAAACGAGCAACGCTCTTTTTACGATTTTTGAGGCAGATGTTCCTGATTTCTCGATCGGTACGAGCTGTTGTAATCCTTTTCCTGCCACATTTGCCAGCACGATTTGCTTCAAGAGGCTTTTTATTATCAATTTTTATTTTTATTCGATTGACGACAGACTTTGGAACCCCAGCAATAGCTGCTATGTCTCTCTGGGAATGTGTGGAGTGCAGTAACAACGTTTGTATCTCTCTACATTTTCTTGGAGACGTGTCCAAAGTCCTACCCATCCTAAAAAGTTTAAAATATTGGGTTATCGTGTCGAACCATTAATAAAATGTAAACTCATAGACAAAACGTAGCAAAACTATTCTTATACGGAGCATTACTTACCTTTTGATTAATTAAGACACAAAAGTCGGTTAAAACTAATGAAAAAATAACATCTAGGCAATACAACAATAATACCGAATTCCGCGCTTTTTTCGGGCAAAGAAGAAACGTCACACAATTGATAAAAACGCAAGTATTCTGGGTTGCCATTTGACAAAAACAATAATAATGATACCAGTAAATATATCAGATACAATAACCGCTTAAAAACAACATCATTTATTCAAAAAAATATAATAAACTATAAATTACATAAATATGAGCACTGTCCCTAATAATTTGGCCTCCTATAGTATATATTACTAGTATTATACTTCAAGATTTTACTTTTTTTTTAGTTTTAGAATTAAAAACTACAAACATTGTAAGGAACTATACTATAGTGTATCCAATGGTTTATTTAACTTTTGACAGATCACGCACATAAAGTTTTGTAATAATTTTTGATACATTGTACTACAGGGAATACTGTACTACATGGACGGGCACCGCCCACTTAAAGATGTGTCAAAAAGGATTTTGAAATAAATCGATTATATTAATAAAACATACAATAAAATTATTGTGATTATATTTTATATCAAATCACGTAAAAACCTTATTATTTTGCATTAAAATGCCATAAATGTCTCTGTTTTAATGCATAATAAAAATAAATAAATAATAAATAATTTGCGTAATGAAAACAGTTCCATCGTACTCGTACCTAGTAATGGGATCGAATGTATTTGCTGCAAATTAATTAATCTAAAATAATCGTTTAGACTTACTGTAGTTGGTTCAAATAAAAAGCAAGTGAATGAACTGCGGTACCTACTTGTAATGAACAGGTACAAAATGTTGAAATTCATAGCACTTTAAGGATAAAAAAAATAAAACAACCAAAAGAGGTACTGTAATACTATTTTTAATTATAAAGAATCGTCTTTTTCGTATGACCAGGAATCATCATCACTTGAGTTCTCAATAATATTGATTATCAATTCTTGGACAGATAAATTGTCGAATGCAACATCCCGATCCCAATCCGTCATTAACACCTTTTTTTACAACACTCGCCCAGTTTTCAGGAGTTACTTTTACGCACGCATTTTTTAGTCTTCCAGCATTTTTCTTGCGGTGAATGGAGGAGTTGTATTGTTCCTCGCAGCATTCCTTTAACTTGTGCCCAGATCATTTCAATTGCATTATATTGGCAGTGATATATGGGGAAATCTGAGGACGGTATGCCCATGGTCTGCTGCCATTTCATCTATTACGTATCGTTTTGGCAGCTTCTTTGTTTTTAATATCTTTACCAACTCTACTTTTAGTAGGGACCCGTCTACCTCCTCGCCATTGTCACGGAGCCAGTTTATGATTTCATGTTTTTTGTTGACCTGCGTTGGCATTTTATTAATTTGACGAGAGTGATAGGGTGCATTATCAATAAATATTATTGATGGCTCTTCGAGTGATGTAAGCTGAACCACTTTTCATACACGTTCGAATTCATCTCCTCATGATAATCTCCTTTCTTTCCTGGGATTTGAAAGCTAATAGAGCGTCTGGCACAAATCCTTTTAGTGTTCCTGCATGGCAAATAATCAGTCGTTCGCCTTTTCCCATTGGTACTGCAGAAGTGGAGCCAGCAGTGTTGTCAGTCCAAGTTTTTGACAGCGTATGATTCGCATTGAGCCAAGTTTCATCTGTGAAAACAACATTCGACCAATCCTCTATTTTTTTCGATTGTCTTAAAAATTCGCATTGATACAAAGCATTATCATTGCGTTCCATTAAAATTTTTCGTTTGTCACATTTTTGGAATAAGAATCCAATGTCTTTCAATACCTTTGCCAAAGAAGATTTTTGAACACGGAACAAACCACTATTTCGTAGAGATTGTGTTAGTTTTTTTAATGTTGGAATCTCTTTTCTTTGGTAATAGTCGTATATATGACGACGAATAGCATCAGCGTCAAAATTGTCAACTGCTGTCACTTTACAGGTCTGACGTTTTTTCTTAGGTGTAGATAGCTTATTCTGTCCCATGCCACTGCTGCCGTAGCCTTCTTTTGTTATTTTTGCCACTGTTGGAGCACTAATACCTAATGCTGCTGCAACACGGTCTCTAACTTGAGTCACTGGTATAAGAGGCCCACCATTACGGCTTTCCTTTTCAAAGTATTCACGAAGTCGCAAGACAAACTCTCTTGTTTATCCTTCAAGTACTTCATTTTTTTGCCATTTTGACAGTAACGAAGGGATACGCTCAACTCAACCAAACGTGCGGATTATCAAATAAATCAATACGGAGGAATATAAATACTCAACTCGACGTATGAAAATGTGGATTAACACTGACAACAAAATGGCGTCACACGTCGCCGCCGCGTCCGGTGTTGCCGTTTGATAATCGATAAAATTACGAAATTTTCGATAAAATAATGTGTGTTAAATCGATTGAAACTTCTTCATGAATAAAATCGGTCGATAAAAGAAATCGAATCGGTAACGGGTCAGGGTATCACTATTTGAATAAGTATTAGAGCTGTCAAAAGTTAAATGTACGATTGGAAAGGGTATATACCTTAGTGATTTGATACATCTGCAGAAATGAATAGGCATTACCACTAACTCCATGACACAAGCTATACCCCTTAGTACTGAGACCCCGTTCCCATATAACTTCACATGAGTGTTGGGCTATTTTTAAATATTTATCGTCTTCAAAAACCTGGAATGCATTAAACCTCTGTTAAAAGGCAGCCTAATTATACACTAAACTGCGTTAGACATTACTGTTATAAGAGAGCATTGATGATATTGAAACAGAATTTCTTAATTATAACAAAGAACAATCTTGAAATCTTATCTCGGACACAGATCGGCGTTTAATTAAAAACAAGGTTCTGCAAAAATTTAGAGAAATAAGACGAGTTTCTTTTTGCTTAAATTCTATCTAAGAGGCCTATATCAAACGATGGGTGAATAAAGGCAATGAAATGTTATAAGAATTAGCACTCAAAACATGTCGCTGTAAAAAAAATAGAAATTGGAAATTGCTCAGAAATGCCACATTGCTGTAAAACTAGTATAGTTATCAACAAGAGGTACTGCAAACGTGTCCTTTCATGAGTGTTTGTGTGTAATTAAATAATAACTTACTTCAGCAGCTAAGGTACACAATGCTATAAATCCAGGTGCACCATGACACCACTGCACCAGTCTATCTCCAGAAGCACTACCCACGGATGATGGGAAATTACCACTCGTGAATCGTTGACTCAATAGCCAATTGATAGTGGGCTTAACTAAACACTTTATATCCATAATATTAATGTAAGCACGAGCCTGTGAAAATGGTGTTACTTCTTTTTAATGGATATTTTCAATGCAATGCAAAAATCGTTATTACATAATAAAATGTAATCTCTCTCTCTCTCTATTTCAAGGTAATTTTATATATCAAATTTGTGTAGAATTTGAGAAGTTTAGGGCTTACAGTTGCAAGATTTGGTTTATCTTGTATAATCCAAACTTAAGTTATGAGGGTTCAAAACAACAACGCAGCGCTTCGAGAAAAAGTAATTAGCGACCTTGCGCTTCACTTGCCTACCACCAACTACTACCGTGCCCCAGATACTTTTTAAGTTAAATCGCGGTTTCCATACTTTCCAAATAAAAAGTTAATTGCGAATGAAATGATATGAATTAATATTTTAGAGAGAATTACCTGAAGTAAAATGTACAGAATACCAGCCATTCCATGTGCCGCGCCAAAATACACTTTATCATGCCATTGCCACAACAATGGGCTTTCAGAACTCCTGTGAGCAGCAAATTCTTTTCCCGATTTCATGATACTAGAAATCACCTGAAATTTAAAATTATTCATGACATGTAACTAAATCTTATATATGTATCATATGTCTTCGACATTCTGTCAAGGGTTGTCGGATCGGGTAAATTCCCTTCTTCAGAAGCTTCGTCTTACTAGTGCCCCATATCAAATCCTTCTGCCTTATCATCCCTTCTTCTACCTACCTACTCTTCTACCTTCTACTAGAAACTTAGGGGCTTTGTAGTAACCTAAATATAATATAACTAATCTTTTACATGTTACTAAATCTGATCTAATATATTACAAAAAATACTCTTTAAGTGTTGTGATAATATTCAAGTTTCAAATCAAACATGATTATGTTAAAGTTTAGGTCAAATAATAGGAGTTAAAGTATGAAATTGCCGTTGCATACTTTAGACTTGAAATATATATATTTTTTCTATCTTGGTATTGTAACGCACTTTGCATTGTCTAGTCGTCCAAATTATTACCACAACGGAGTGTATGAGACTCGTGGTAAGTGTGTCGCCATTTGGTGGCTACTGGGAATTTTATGCCCGATTGCCACCTTGTGGCAAACCATGGCCACCAAAGAATTTTTTTCTATCTTGGTATTGTAACGCATTTTACATTGTCTAGTCATCCAAAAGTACCAGAGTAGGTAATAGTAAAAAAGTACCATTTCGAAGTGACTTCCTGGTATAATATCTTCTTCGGGAATATGTTTGCTAACAAACAATAACGCATAGAGATATCCAGATTTGCCATACAAAATTTCATCTGGAGAATCGTTCAATAATGAAATCAAAGCCTGCAGCCTGAAATGAAAATCAACAGTTAATAAAAACAAAATTGAATAAAAGGAGAGGGTTCTGCAAACGAAGGAAAGAAATAAACTTTAAAAATAAGTCACCGGTCAAGTGCGACTCTCGTTGCAGCATATAGAAGTTGGCTGTAGAAAATATTATTTTATTTATTGCCCAAAAGGTGAAGTTTTGGTCACGCAAAGATCATGTCACCCCCATAGGAAACTACTAATTAGGTACATTAATCAACTGTTGTTTGAATCATCAATCAACAAACATTGGTTTTTAATATATATATTTTTTTAATTTAGTTAAAAGCTCTTTTAATGTTACTTCTCTTTCTTTCACTGATGTTATAGGGCAGCCTTTCATAAAGTGGGCGATAACGCCCCCTTGTAGGCGCTGCAGGCCTAAAGGGGGGCGGTAAGAGACCCAGAAAAAATGGGGGCGTTGTATAGAGGCTTGGGGGTCGATTTGTAATTTCATCTAGCTAGGAGGACTCTTAGACACCGACTGAGCTCTTGACCTTCGACTACAACTTGTGAACATCAACTAATATAAATTAAGAAATTGCTCAAACTCGGTTCGATATTTCTCTCCGCGTAGTGCATTTATCTGTCCTGTTTTATTTAATAAATGAAATAACAAATCATGTCAATCGGTCGCTCCGTTTCGAAATGAAAGTAGATATAAGCAACCAAATAAAGAGGCAACAGACACACTTTCGCATTTTAATAGTTATTAGTATTCCTAGATAAGTAATTTTCGTAGATAATAGACCGCGGGCAATCATGTTTTAACAAGTTTTTGTTAAATAACCCGATTTGTGCATTCCTGTATCAATCGGCTGGTTCATAGAATACTTGTCCTTACTTGTTGAGTACGATTGATCGTCGAATGAGATAAACGAGTTTATCGCTGCTAGAGGATTCGATCCCGGGATCCCTGTAATATTTTATTCCCGAAATTTTCGGGATCAAATTTAATGAATCCCGGGATTTTCGGGATTGATACATTTTTTACATAAGTCAATAAAAATGTGCGTAAAAAGAAACGCCCTTGCCTTGATTTGATGTTTTGACAGCCATCTTGTCTACACAGCTGATTTCATTTGTTTTTGCTAATGACCGGTTCTGGATTATGCGTAAAAGTGTGTAATTTATAAAGTTTCTGGGCAATTTAATTAAAAAATATGAGTAGGTATCTATAAACATTGGTCTCTTAAGCATATAGTTTTTTTTTTAATAGTTTATCTAAATAAGTCTAAAGAAGTTTATTGTTAGTTTCATAAATTATTTACCGAAACACAAAACTAACTAGGCACTAGTTTGTTTATTTTATAAAAAGAAAGTATAATTTTGTTTAACCGCCTTTTTAGAGATTAAAAACTTAAATATTCTATGTCCTCACAAAACTAAATGATAAACAAAAAAAAATATTTTGATATGTTTTACTTCTTTCTTTTCTTTTTTTTTTTCTTTATAAAATTTACTGTCTTTTTGTTACCACTTTCCATTGCCAAAACAATCCCGGGACTATCCCGGGATCCCGAGATTGACTGTAGATAATCCCGAAATCCCGGGATTATAAAAATATACCGGGATCGAATCCTCTAATCGCTGCTCATGCAATCCTACGAGTATATAAACAACGTAATATTTATTTTATTTTCATTTGCGGTTTCGTGCGTAATTCATAAGCAGTACTTAAGTTCAACACTTACTTAGGTATTTCTCAAAACAAAACAATGTCGGAAGTAAAAAAGAAGAGACGCCAATACTGTGCGGAATATATTAAATTCGGATTCATTGAAAATCCCTCAAACTCATAGTCGCCTTTGTGCCTTCTATGTCTAAAAACATTTTCGAAAGAAGCAATGAAGCCATGCAAATGCATTTTATTCAAATGATCTTGCAGTCTTGAAGACTGCAAGATCATTTCAATAAAATGCATCCAGATAAGAAAGACAATAATGTAGCTTATTTTCAAGAGCTAGAGAAGAAGCATTATACTCAGCCAAGTGTAGCAAAACTATTTTCGGCGGGTGCTAAGCAAGATGACGACGGATTTCGAGATTCGTACAATATCTCTTTGTTAATTGCTCAAAAAGGCAAACCACACAACATCGGAGAAGAGTTAATTTTGCCAGCAATAAAGGAAGTAATATATACTGTGCTTCATTAACCGTCCGCAGATATTATCCGAAAAATTCCTTTGAGTAATAATTCTGTGCAAAGACGAATTGATGAAATGGCTGAAAACATTGAAGGATCATTGTGCAATCATCTGAGGATTAGACAATTCTCAATTCAGCTTGATGAGTCCACTTTACCAACTAATGAAGCATTATTGCTGTCTTACGTGAGGTTTATTACAGATGATAAAATATGTGAAGAACTATTATTTTCTAGAAATATAGAGACCGATATAAAACAACCATTTTCAATACATTGGAAAAGTTTTGTGATGAGAAAGAGATTCCCTTGAAAAATATTATGTCAGTTGCTACGGATGGCGCTCCGGCTATGACATGGTGCCATAAAGGCTTTGTAGCGTACTTAAAAAATAAAATTCCAGATGTCCTTGCTGTGCATTGCGTTATTTATAGACAACATTTGGTTGCTAGGAACTTAAGTGAACGACTATTTCAATCACTGCAATATGTCATCAAAGCAGTCAATAAAATCCGTTTGCTCAACTCTTTGAATGATAGATTATTTCATCAGCTTTGTGTTACTACTGACGAAGATTTCAACCGTTCATACTAAAGTTCGTTGGCTATCAAGAGGCAATTGTCTGACTCGATTTTACAACCTGTTTGACTCTGTGATAGAGTTCTTGGAATAGAAAGATACAGAATCGCGCAACAAGCTCATTACATCAAAAAATGATATAGCTTACATGACAGACCTGTATAAATTGTTCAACGACATGAATCTCCAACTGCAAGGCGATGAAATAAATTTAATTAAAACAAAAAATGTTGTTGCTGCTTTCGCAGCCAACTACTTCTACATAAAAAGAATATGGGCAGACGTGTTTCACAATTTTCTGGATTTATCAGTATCCTGCAGTAACGACGACTTGTTTGCCTACTGCTAACATTTGGATGCGTTGGAACCTCCACATTGACTTCACCGAACGATACCATTTTGAACTTGGAAATACCAGACTGGGTGTTGGATCCGTTTTCAAATGTCAACACAGCAATGTCACCTCAGCAGGAAGAAGAACTTATAGCATTGACAAAAAACAAGGAAATAAAAATTAAGTTCAAAAATGGCTACCAAGAATTTTGAGTCTATGTAAATAATACTCAGTTGAATGTGAATGCTAGACTGACTATAATTCGAATCAATACATTGTTTTATAGTTTCTCTTATATCTATCTTACATCTACTACATCACACCTCCGGGGGAGGGCAAAAAAAAAATACTACAAATACAACATTTTTTTTTTTTTAGATTTCACTACAATAAATTTATGAAGTAAACATAATATATGTGTACCTTGCGTACATACATGTTCCTTTAACAACTGAACTGAATAAACAATATAATAAAACTAAAAAGTAATTAACAAAAAAAAAAAGTAATAATATAAGATTAAAGAGTGTATAAAATGATTATAATTACGCAATTTATTAGTAAACACAAATTCTTTATTAATTTATAAACAGTTTCGTTCGGTTCTTGTGAACAATATCTAATTTTCCATTTTTAATAAATTCCACATTTGGTGTCAAGTCACGAACTACAAGATAAGGGCCTAAATAGATAGCATCAAACTTTTTGCCGCTTTCATTTTTCAATAATATTAAATCGTTTGGTTTGTATGTAACGGGATTAATGCTAGAGTCATGTTTTATTTTTCTAATCTGTTTGCTTTATATTAAATTTTGACGGGCTTCTCGTAATGAAGTTTGCATTCTGTATTTTAACTCTGTGGGATAGTGCGTCACAAACATAATTTTGCTGAGTGATTTAACAGATTTTTTAATACAAAGTTAATAAGATCAATTCGTGATTCATTCGTAAGAGTAGTGCTATAATACTCGATGCCATCGATCAATTTCTCAGTAGTAGTCATTTTACCATCCATAACGGGCAATAGGCTTAACGCAATCTTCAAGTTAAATTCCATGGTTACAGTTTTGATAATAGGGCACTCACTACAAAGTTCTATTATTTTAGAATATATGTTTTTAAACTTTGAACAATATTCATTGATTAGGAGACTCTCGTCTTTTGAAAGTCTGCCTAAATTAATAGATTCATTAATATTTTTGAGGTTCCCGGGGAAAAATATTTATATATAATCATATATAATTTATATATAATCATATAAAATTATATAAAGATTACATATAATTATATATATTTTATATATAGTTAGATATAATTTCTTTATATATATAGATTTTTTGATATAGACTTTATAGATTTTTATATATAGTTATATATAGTCGCTCGAGATATTTATGTATAGTTATATCTAATTATATATAGTTATATACAGTTGTCTTGAGAATTTCAAATGTAATTTTATATAACTATATATAATCATATATAACTTTATACAATTATATATAACTATATATAATTATATATTTCATACTTACTGGTGCATTGGGATTTGTTTTGTAAATTTTGTATTTTCTCCTTTTAACTGACGGAGATCCATTTTCAGAATTTTGAAATGACATATTATTTATAACTATGGATTAAATGACATAAAGTGATATAAATTTCAATTGAATTTACAACAGTATTATAATAACTTTTTTAAACCATCAAAGACATTTATACAGGGTTACAAGAAAAGTCGTGCTAGATCCGTTAAGGGCGTGGAGTACCCATCATTTCTGACATATTTCACTATGAAACACCCTACCCTAAACTTAACCCTTTTCGAGATAATCGTCTTTTAATTTTTTTATTGAAATTTGCTGATTTTTAGGCTACTACATTTATTTTTGTTTATTTTGTGTATCTTATTATTATTATTTTTG